TCTTTGGAGGCCGCCGATTTGACATCCCCCAACCCCCCACTCCCGCCCTAGCCCCCTATGGGAAAGATAAAGATTAACGATAATGAGACAACCCCTCATGATGTCGTTAATAACAAAATTGCCCCCTCCCCCACCTCCCACCACAAAAAAAAAAAAAAAAAGAGTTCAAGCAATGTTGTACGTCTAGTTATTTATTGATCAAATCATTCGATGCCAACTTCAGTATGACCTGGCGGTTATTACTCATTTAGAACTAAGAACACAATAGACAATGGACTTACAACAATTATCCCCGTCATTTTGTCAACGATGGTATTTGTACTCAAGACGGGATATTTTATTTTTGTCCAAAAAAAAGGACCGGATCCCACTTTAAGCTCCAATCCTTATTTGAGTTGTTGGGTTATTCTCCATTTTTGTTACAAGGGTAGAACTCTGGTGGATACCCTAACTGGAAACTACATCATCAGGTCGGCTATCTTGGAGGAACGTTACTCAAGACGGGATATGATCTCACGGAAGTACTAGGAGATTTGTCAGATTCGGGAAATAGTACGAGTGTTTTTGGATTGTAAATTATTTGAGACAATTTCTGTAAAAAAATACTATAACACTTTTTGGATATCATGTATGTGAGAAAACAAAATAATTAAAAAATATGTTAATGATACAAACAAATCAATGTGCATAAATAAAGTGTAAATAAAATGGAATCCTTGGCAATCCAAACACATTGATACTTGGATCCATGGTTGAAGTTGTGGTAAGGAAAAGTTATTACCATCAACGTTTCCGACTCCTTTTTAGGTTGTAGGTTAGTTCATCACTTGAGAATGCTAGTTTGGTACCAAAACAATTCGACGAAGTGTGTTTGGGCAAGAAATTATTTGTTCAAATATATTTACTTATATCATTACTATAATTTTCACTACATATTTTTATCTTTTCAATTATTTTTTTATCTCATATATATCATATCACAAAAGAAAATCTTAAGGTACTTCATGGAATGTATTTTTTAAACTCAAATACATGTCATATAAAGAGAGGCGAAAATGTAATCTCAACCTAGAACAATTACAGCCTAATAAGTCACATGGACTTGGGGGCAAAAGACAATACTCTCTGTTTTACAAACCAAATAAACAAACAAAAAGAAGGCCCCAATACAGATTTGATGTGACTCTTGAATCCAGAAACTGACTGACAAGAGCTTCAACTTTGCACATAAACATTCACAGGTCTCAAATGAAAAAGTACACTTGATTAATTAGAATAAGATTCAAAAAAAATCATTACTTAAACTGAATCTAATGCCTTTTCCGGGACCATTCTACATCCTTCGATATTTGTTTAATATCTCCAGCTAAAACGGATCATGATTAATCAAAAAAAAAAAATGCTTACATGCTGCTCGAGATTTTCTAGAGTCTTTTTTTTTTTGCATGGACAAATTTTTAAAAAAATCTCATTTGAATAAAAATTGTATTACCACAAAGTGGAAAATTTCCACTACTTCGTAAATGAGATTATTTGAGACAAGTGTTACCCTCTTTAACTTCATGCAAAAGCAATGAGTTTGTTTGGATAAGAGTTTATTTGGATGATTTATTTGAGATATTTACTGTAGCACTTTTTGTAATGTGATGTGTGTGAGATAAAAAGGTAATTGAGAAGATAAAAAGGTAATTAAGATTTGTGAGGCAACATTTTTTTTTCCAAATTCTCTCTATCCAAACAAACTCAATGTTTTAAAAGGTAAAAGTGTTGGATGGGATGCTCTATGTCCGTTCAAGTGGGATAACCACTGGGCCAATGGTTCAGTACCCATCAGGGAGGGGCTTAAGTCCCTCCTTGGGCTGTATGTGAAAGTTCAAACCTCATTTATAACGAAAAAAATTTAAGAGTTGTACCAGAGCACTCCCTTAGTCTAGTTGGATCTGTATACTCACTAGCCCCCTACCACAGCCTCTTCAGGCTCTCCCTTTCCCCTATATTAGGATAGAGTAGGTTATACAAATGTATCGTTGCTGACAAAAAAAAAAAAAAAGTGGGATGAAAACCTCGAGACATGAGGCGAAAGCCCTATAAATCTTGAATTTTTTTATATTTATAAAATATAAGAAATATTACAAAAAATGCAAATAAATATAATAAAGATTGGGTAAGATAAAGGAAATGTTCAGAATTATATAATTACCTAACTTGTGAATTACCACTACAATGGTTTAAATTACTAACAGAGATATGTAGCCAAAAAAAAAAAAAAATTACTAACACAAAACATTCATCTAAGCCAACGTTAGTCAAGTTGGGTTGAGGTACTAGCTTCATTCCAAAAGAGTCTTCTAACTACTACATACATGATACATACAAGTCGAGGTCAAAGAAAAGAAGTCTCATATCGCATTCATTAATGTTTCTTTACTCTCCGGTGAGTTTTGAATTTTGACTAAATATCAATTTTTTTTTGTGTTCTCTCCCGCTGGGCACGTTTTCTGCTGGGTTCGTATTCTTTTTGCTCACAAGTCTTTGCGTTTGGTTCCCACTTTGAGCAAGTCTCCCTCTTTCTCAAACACGTGCGTTTTCGCTTTATATTTAGAAGGGGATGAAGAGACGATTGGAATTCGACTGGAGAGAAGCGTTTGCAGAATGGGGAGAGGATCTAGGATTTAGTGATTAGGGATTTTCGAGAGGAAATTATAGATTTTAGTTTAAAAAAAAATGGAGTCTGTCGCTTTAAAGAATTTGGGATTTCTTAACATATAAAAGGTTAAAAACCAAAACCAAGTAGAAAATCATAGAATAATTTAAGAGATGAATTCCTCCAACCTTAAGGATTAAAAGTCGTGCCCCAGCATATATCCTTTTAAGGATTTAGTGATTAGGTATTTTCGAGAGGAAATTAGACGGCATATCCTTGCGGCCATTCATGAAGCCATTGGACGAGGAATTGACACCAAGAAAAAAAAAAAAAAAAAAAGAAGCATTATCCTCCCTTTAGTCTGCTACACGAAGTAAACAAATTGCATCTCATGCTTCTCTTCCAAGGTTATGTTTGGATTGCTATTTTTTTTAAATTTTTATAATGATTTGATATGTATAAAATAAAAAAATAATTTAAAAATTACAATTCAAACACGACCGTAGATTTTAGATATCATCACACACTGTTGTGCCGAAAGAATTTCTTTTGGTCGGTGACAGTAGTTAGAAGCATTGCTCCTGAAAGGCGTGGAGTGCTTGAACCGCAAATTGTTTACTTTTAACTTTCTTTGATTTTTTTTTTTTTTTGTTGGTTGGAAAATTTTGCTCAAGATGATAAGGGGGCGCTCTCTTTTATGAGATGACTTTTGGTCGCATGCATCAGAAAGTAATTTCTAATCATATTAAGTAAAAAAATTCGAGTATGTTAATACAAATCACTTGCCAACTAAAAAAAAGAAAAAAGAAAAACCACTTACCAACCCATATAAAATAAGTTTCGACAACTGCAAAAATACGAGCTGTTCATAGTCACTTAAGTGGCTGATCAACCATCATGCCGAGAATACATGTAGCTGTTTTCAGTGACTTTTTTTAACGGAGTTTTTACTTTCATCGTCTCCCATCTTTTCTGTGGATTAGAATAAATTATGTTATAAGAATGTTATCACTGCGATAAAAAAAACAAAAAGAAAGCATCATCCCAAGACTGCTTCTCATTCCTCAAAAGTGAAAATGAAAAGAAAATTACTCCTTTCATTCCACAAAGATAGGCATGCTTTTATTTCTAAACAAATTAAGACAAGGAAGTTGACGCAGTCAAAACATTTAATTTTGCTTCTTAATTTCTTATATTAAATCTATTCATTAATACTAGTTTTAGTGTTGTATTTATTGTTCCAATTAGAACATTTGATCAATGGAATAGCAAATTTGTTGATAAACACACTTATTAAAAAATGGATATAATTATTGTAAACTAATTATTCTTCTAAGAAAGAAATGAGCATATAATTAATTGAGACAAATAGAAAGAAAAAAAAGGGACGTGAGCTTGTTTTTAACGTGACGGCGTGGACACTGCTGGATGGAAATCTTGGAAGCCTTCGAGCTCCAAAACCTTAGCGTAAACAGTCGGCTCTGGGGTGGAGTCGTTTTCGCCGGAAGGCGGAGACATTTCTACTCTGTGGTCGCTTTCAGTATTGTTTAGCCAACGATGGCAGAAGTGTTAATCCAGACATAAACGAACCCAATATTCTACATGTCCGCTCTTCCAGAATGCAGAAGAATAAGGGAAGCATCCGACCCTAAGGCTGGACGAGGGACGCTGGATTTGATTAATTCAAAGGAATAACAACGTTGTAATGAAACAACAAAAATTCTCAATCTCTAACAGTTCCATAGACTATTTGACCTTTTCGTAGCCCCGATTGGCCAATACCAACAACACCTGGCAATCAACCAATGGGTTTATGCAGTCGCGAAGGAAGAAATAATCGTGCAAGTAAAAAAGAACAGAAAATGCACCTCTTTAATTAAATTCTCCTCATTAGTCTAAAAAAGGACATTCCAATAAATAAACGTTTGATCGATTTAGTGAAGTAAATAATAGATTCCGAAAGCAAGTAGAGTAGCGTATGTACTGATTCAAATGGCATGTGATTTAATGTTTGGATGCTTTTGACAAGCCCAAAAAAAAAAAAAAACAATTACGAAGAGTAGTTGTTTATTTAATTTTATTGTCTGGCAAAATCAAATTGAAAATAGAAAAGTAAAAGGCATTATTATTATATATAGTACTAGTCCAAAAGGGGGCACGGTTCCAAGTTCCAAAAGGGGCAGTTTCGTCGACCGATCCAATTTGAACCTACTGTAGTAGGCAGTTTCGTCATTAAATTTTTTTTTTTTAGCAAATTAATAAGTATATCCACATATGGATGGATAAGCTTCCCAAGCAGCAGTAATTATTAGCTGTATTACTAATTTTCTCCTTCCCACAAACCGAAGGAAAATCAATTAAAAAAAGCACACCGCCGGGCCTTTGAACTTCCGTCCCTCCTTTTCCAGTTTCCACACGCCTTTCCTCTGTTCCTTTGTGTCCTATAAATACCGTCCATCCGATCTCTCTCTCTCCCCATTCTCAAACCGAAAAAGCATCCCAAAAATTTTAACCATAAATTCTTCTTCCCGTTTCCATTATATAGATATAGAAGCAGCAATTAGTTTTATGAAACAATGGTGGATTTGGATTGGAAAACAAAAATGATCTCATCCGATATACCAACCACATCTCCTAGGCTTTCCAATATGCTTCAAATCTCCGTACCTTCTAGTACTACACCAACCGTTCGGGTCGCCGATTTATCACCGGCTTCTGAGTCGGCTTGTTCGGCCTACGAACACTACTTGCGACTTCCGGAGCTGAAAAGGCTGTGGAGCTCTCAAGATGTTCCCACCTGGAGAAACGAATCCATACTTAAACCGGCTCTGCAGGGCTTGGAGATTACTTTCCGGTTCATCTCAGCCGTTTTGTCCGACTCTAGACCCTACGCTAACCGGAGAGAATGGAGGCGGCGGCTGGAGTCTCTGGCCACCGGCCAGGTCGAGATTATAGCTTTGCTGTGCCAAGAAGGCGAGGAGGACTACAGGACGCGTGGCACCGCGCCGATTGTTGACCTGACATCGAATTCCGGCGTGTGGGTTCGCGAGAGCAGCTCCGCGGAGGTGTGGAAGCTCACCGGAGGAGATAATAAAACAGTGGTGAGCAGAGCGAGCGACGCTAGCTTGCTGCCTCGCCTTGCCACGTGGCAGAAGTCGGAAGACGTCGCCCAGAAGATCCTCTACTCCATCGAGTGCGAGATGAGGAGCTGTCCTTATACTTTGGGCTTGGGCGAGCCGAATCTCAGCGGCAAGCCGAGCCTGGACTACGATCGCGTGTGCAAGCCGGCTGAGCTCCACGCCCTGAAAAGATCCCCGTCCGATCACATGAATCTTCAAAACTCTGAAAACCAAACGCTCTACAGCGTTCACCAAATCTTAGAATCATGGATCTACACGTCGGGGCAAATTTTGAAGAGAATCTCGGATCAAATCGAAGAAAGAGAGTTTGAGAGCGCCTGCAGTAATTGCTGGCTACTCGAGAAAATTTGGAATCTGTTGAGCCAAATCGAAGATCTCCATTTACTGATGGATCCGGACGACTTCCTCCGGCTGAAGAATCAACTGTCTATTAAAGCGACGTCGGAGAATGATTTGTTCTGCTTCAGGTCGAGAGAACTGGTTGACATAACCAAGTTCTCAAAAGATTTGAGGCACAAAGTGCCCTTCATTTTGGAGGTGGAGGTGGACCCCAAGGGAGGGCCGAGAATACAAGAGGCGGCCTGGAATCACATTTTTGGCCACCAGGATCTGCCCTGAATATTGTGACCTCAATCTAATTGAGAAGGGGGGTCGTAACACAGAGCCAGCGTCAAGCTTCCAAACAGCCCCCCACGACCGTTTCATTTCCCACCATTCATCACGTCCGGATGATTGCTTCAGAGCCACGCCCGCAAGATCACCATCTCCATCTTCAAACTCGATAACCACGGCAAAATACTGAGGATTGGACCCCGGATCAACGCGGAATGCAACGTTCGTCCCCGGATACTCGCAAGAAACACTGAAGAAGGAGAAAATCATGTTAGGCGACCAACAAGGCTGCTAACTGCTAAGTGTTATGTTATAGTACTATTATTATATATGGTAGGTACTATTTCATGGTGATTAAGGCTAAGTAAGGATTTGAGCGCCCAATATACCTTAATCCGAATTAATTAAACTAACTGACCGTGCATAGCTGATTTCCAAAACTCCGGCATCGCGAAGTTTTTGTTCTTTCCCGGGAACGGCCATGGCACCAAAAGCAGTTCCGCTGAGGTCGAAATGAGCAGGTCCGGAAGTGCATGGATATCCGGGACAAAAATCTGTTATAACAACTCTGACTGGCTGGCCGGAGCATGCCGGATGCTTTGTGCATTTCACCTACAGGATCATTTATTTTCCTTCAAGTAACACTAGCTGGCTATAGTATGTAAGAATGACCTGAGCAATAATAATTAGTTTTACTTTTCTTATTTATTAAAACCAAAAAAAAAAAGAGAGGAAGTAGTTTTTTTATTTTTCTTTTATTTTTGTCCAGAAAATAAAATATTACTACCTACTTGTAGTATATTATGTGTAGCTGGGTTAGTCAACGGGTTACACGATTGTAAACTAATGAAGCCTAAAGTAGTGGCTCTAAAAGTATGCGATTAAGACAAAAGATGGAATGGTGAGCCACTTAGCAAAATCTCATGTGGACTAGATTATCAAATCACACTAATAATTGAACATCATATGACTTTAAAATTAATTTTAAAAGCAATGAACGGAAAAATTCATCTAACAAAATGTAGGAGGCTTCTAACAGTTTTTCACTATCAAGCGCCTTCACCGAAGAGACGTCCAGAGTTGCCAATTTTAAACACCTCCAAATTGCACGCTTCCACGAAATATTTTATCCCTTCGTGGAAAGTGTGGCACCTGCTCGCTTATTACGTCGGGGCATAAAATTAGAGAACCATTTTGACAAATTCAATTTCAGTTAAGCATGTCAACCCAAACATTAATAGGTCTAATCCATTTTATTGCTGCATAGATGTTTCTCAATACAAATGCCGTAGAGTCCTTGAATCAACAACTGAGTTTTACACATCAATGAAAACATTACCATGCTCTCACAGATTAACGGCGTCTGGTATGAGAACAACAGAGCCAGACGTTTTTCGACTCTCAAGATCAGAATGCGCCTGAGCAGCCTGGGATAAGGGATAAGTATGATTTACTCGAACCCGCAGCACACCTGATGCTACATTAGCAAATACTTCTCCTGCAGTTTCCAATAGTTCATCCCGAGTTGAAGTGTATTGCATCATTGAAGGCCTAGTCAAGAATAAAGACTTTGCTGCAAGAGCAGACAAAGGTACCGGGTCTGGCATACCAGACGACTGCCCAAAATTAACCATGTACCCACGGGGTTTCAAGCATGCTAGCGACCCCTGATGCAGAAAATATTGCAATCAAAAGACAGCACCAAATAAATTTCAAGTTAGACCTTGGATTACAAAAACCAGCAGATCAAAACAACAGTACACAGTCAGGAACATTGATAATGAATTGAAGTGTAATTTCATTAGTTTCAGATTACTCAACATAGAACAAGATGTTCTCAAGTATGGTTAATATTTGTGAACCAGCCTCAGAAATATGAGATCTTCGTTGAACAGCCTGGTATGAGTCAGTTTCTTCGTTGGGGACTGGAGACTTGGGGGGAGGGGGGACAGATGTAGGGAAATATAGGTGTCTTGGTCATCTCCTGATTGATACTTGCTCAATACCATACTTTAGATAGCAGTAACTTAACAGATCGGGTCTACATAGCAAAGTTATAATTTTGCTTCGTTGTACTTTAGGTACTTTTAGAACATTGCCTAGATTTGCTCATCATTGGATACAATTACCTCAAAGGTGTCTTTGCCAACAGAATCATAGACTACTTCAACTCCTTTGCCTGATGTTATCTCATTAACACGAGTGACAAAATCCTCATCCTTGTAGATTATGACATGTTGACATCCATCATCCTTTGCTTGAGCTGCCTTCTCTTTGGTTGAAACAGCTCCAATGACAGTTGCACCAAGGGCATTTGCCCACTGGCACAACAGTGACCCAACACCCCCTGCAGCTGCATGAACAAGAACCGTGTGTCCAGGCTCAACCTGCAATTAATACTCTACATGTCAGCAATTATTCAAGGAAAATAACGGCCATTTCTTGAATGATATCCCTTGATGTAGACAAGGATAATTATTTGGCAGCTTTTCATGCTTGAATGCTGTAATAAAAGACAAAAAAAAAATTGTAGAATGTCCATGAAGTGATATCAATACTCTCATGTACATGCAAAGCAGGAAGGAATACCCTGCATATAGGATAATATGTGCAAGTTCAAGGCAACATACTTTGAAACAGCGACGGACTAAGACTTGAGTTGTCATTCCTTTAAGCATGATAGAAGCTGCAATAATAGGGTCAATTGAAGTAGGAACTGGTACTACTTTGTCCGCAGGAAGTATTTGTTCTTCTGCATATGCACCCATTGGATTACCAGCATAGGCAACTAGGTCTCCAACTTCTCTGCCAGTTAGCCCAGGCCCCACAGCTATAACCACACCAGCAGCTTCCATTCCTGTACTTTGGTGTCACATTTAAGTCTCCATATATTCTGACAAAAAAAATTGACAGGAAAGAAGCTAGCAAATTTATAATATGTAAAGGATATTTTATACCACCGTAAAATACTGGTACTTAGGAGGTAGTTGACTGCCAATTTACAGAAGAAGCAAATCACTCATGGCCACTTTACAGCATGTAACGAGCTGATTAGGTTGAAGTCCAAAATTTATTAGAAAGAAAGGCGTAACTATGGATATTGTATTCAATCAACAAGCCTTTCTCAATTCTGCTTTGATGTTATATAATACTAGTTGATGCAACAAAACAAGAACAGATGGCGTCTAACCATGCTGACAAGTAAAAGCAAATAACAAGCATGAGCCCCTAGTATTAAAAAGGTTATGGATAATGGCTAAGTGCTCTTAAGTCTTGTTTTCTTTGAAATTATTTTGACTTTTCTCAAGGTATTTTATTAAGAAGTAAAGAAAAAGGCAGAAAATGCTGGTATAAAAGTTTTTTCGTAATATCTAGGAAGAAAATTTTGGCAAACTAAATAACAAAAACAGACCTTTTTGTTATGCTATTCAGAATTGAGTAACAAACAATCCCTTCCAAAATCCCAAGAGACTTGAAAACTAAATTGTCATATAGAATTTCATAAATTGATATTGACCTGGACGACACCCTGGTCAAAATTTTTAACTTTTAAAGGTTTGCATCTTCTCAAAATCCTTCCTAGGTATCCAAAGACAAAGTTATCATCAAATCCAACAAATAAGAGACTAAAAATGACATTTCCTAAATGCATAAGGTAGAGAAAGAATTGTAACATGGGATATCAGCCCAAATAGGCCATGGCTATATCTTAGTATTTGACTAAGAAGCAATATAGGACAATGGAGTTACTAGAAATACAGAAGTAGCAGTGACTTGGAGAATCCAGACAAACCTGGAGTAAAAGGCAGTGAGGCTGCCTTGTATACTCCTTTCCTGAAGTATATGTCAATGAAGTTTAGTCCAACAGCCTTGTTTTTCACTTTGATCTCCCCTTCCTTCGGCTCCCCAACTTCCACATCTTCCCATTTCAGAACCTATAATATCAAAAAAAAAAAAAAAAAAAAATATATATATATATATATATATATATATATATCAGGGACGAAACTCATTCATTTTAACTCAAACTAGAAATAAATCAGGCCATCTGGGCTATGGCACAGATGATGCACAAGTATATCCAAGTGCTATTCAAGCAATCAGTTGAAGTGGAATCACAATTCAAGTGCAACACGGCATACAGAAAATTTGTTAGGTTTATCTCACATTGGCTATGGAAGGGGCGGGGTGCTTGGTAATAAATGTGAGGGAAAAGCCGCATCCCTTGAGCTAGCTTTTGGGGTAGGAGAGGCCAATAGCACCTAACAAAATTAACAATGGAATGGTACTTCATTAAAGCTAAGTAAACAAGTCCAATACATTCATACAGAATACTTCACAAAATTTATGCTGGCTGCGTAATCAAATGCCCTATGATACAGTGCTTAGAAACCTGATAAAATCCATAAATCAACCACAGTCAAAGCTGATTTGACTCCCAGGAATTGTTCTGTCCAAAATGACTGGTTAAAACAGAAATGAAAGAACCGTTTTGGAACATTAAATAATAGGCGAAAACAAATTAAGACAATCTGTAGATCAAGTCACACAATCAAAGAAACAATTTCGAACATCTTTATTTAATCAACAAGAAAAAGGGAAAAAAACCTTATGTTTTACAGCATTATGATCATCCAATCAACTTCTGAAAAATGAATAAGAAAATAAACCTATATAGTAGGAGCGACATATGCATATGCAAAAAGAAAAAGAAGGATTTTCAATCTAATGAAACGAATTCATTACAGGCGGCCCTTAAAGACTCAGGTATCTGCAGAGAGTTTTTAAGATAGCTAACAACATTCCGGATCCGGAAGACACATATTTCAGTTGAAAAGCAGCACTTTTTATTTTACTTGAGTAGAACGGATTCTACGAGATGCTACCGGAGAATCATATGTTTAAAGGGGGATAGAAGATGGGTTTTTGTGTCCGCGTTGGTTTGTTTACTTTGATTATATAATTGTCAGATACCTCTGGGCCGCCAGGTTCGTGAACCCTGATAGCCTTGACCATTGTTGAACTTGCTGATTCCGAGAAAGCTTTTATTCCGCTGCCGCCTTTGATACTACTACTACTGTTACTGTTATGAAAGCTAATACTAGTAGTAGTGTAACTGCTACTGCTCAGACTCGACCAGGCTTGCAGCTGTGGAACTGTAAAGAGGGGTAAACGTGGCAATGAAGGATTTCTTCGAAGAAGAAGAAGAAGGTCGTGACGAAGGATTGCCAACTTACTAGTTAGTCCCATGGGCTGTGGAAGACAAATGCTAATGCCCCAACTAATCACTCTGTGTTTTTATTAAGGGATAATATCAGAAACCTCCCTGAGGTTTTCTTAATATCATCACTTACCTCCCTTACTTTAGTTATTTGTGTAACAAAATTTTTAAAAATCCTAAACTATCCTTTCACTGACTAAATAAAAATATTTTTAAACCACTTTGTTCACTTCAAGAAAACCATCACTTCAAAAGCAATCTCTTGTAGTACTACTACATCACAATGCTATACCTCATAAAAATATAAATTTGAAAAATAAAAATGATATTTGAAAAGAAATACACTTGCATCAATTTAATTCTATATGCTCAAAATCGATTTCTTATGAATTTACATTTTTTCCACCATCTTCTCAACCCTTGCTCAAATCATTAAACTATACCAATCATTATAAAAATCAATTTAAAATAAGCAAATAAATCATACCCTACTTTATCATAATCACAAAAAGTAATTAATAAATAAAATTTAATTTATTATAATTTATAATAAAATATTACATACTCATCCAAAAAATATGAGTAAGAGAGAATGATGGAGAAAAGGGAAAAAGAAGAAAGTGACTTCCATTTCTTTTTTTTTTTTTAAATTTTGAGCTTCCTTTATTTGATATGTTGTGAATTATGTGTTAAGTGAGGGTTAATATAGTCTTTTTACAATTATTAGTGGAGATAAGTGATATTTCTAAAATCTCAGGAGTGCCAAGTGATATTAAGAGAAACCTCAAGGGAGGTTTCTGATATTATCCCTTTTATTAATGCAAATATGCAACGGACCAAATAGAGGCAATCTGTTGCCTTTTTTAGTGCCTATTGGTTTTGGGCTCCACTGCGGCCTTGCTGGTGGTTTCCAAAATGGCAAAATGAATAATTTTTTTGGTTCTACGGGGAAAACAAAAAGTAGTACTGAGCATGTCAATTAATTAATTGGTCCTAAAATTTAATAAACCAAAG